AGCAAGGAGCCCAATGCGGGGCTCGATCCCAGGACCCCGGGGATCATGACCTGAGCCGAAGGCAGACGCTTAACGACTGAGCCACCCAGGCAGCCCCTGGCTTGTTTTGATAGTTCAATGAAGCCAGGTGGCTTGAGGGTCTAGCCCAGGTTTTGACATAAGGTTGGAGCCAGCTTTATGATTAGCAGATGAAGAAAGGGACAGAATGAGAACCTGAGAGAGAGAAAGGGACAGAGAGATCTCCAGAACTCCATGGGACATTTTGCCAGCTGGTTAGGTGAAGGAAATTGAAATTTACATAAAGGATGTGATTTCATAGGACATCTATTGAGCACCACTGTCTACTAGCACCCATATATGTCCATGATTAGCCACCTCACCTGCCCACCTGCACCACCAACAATACTTCTGATTTATCCAGTGCTCATTGCATGCACTCAGCAGGTATCTGGCAGACAGTACAGGAGTGAGTCTGCACAACATATAAGATGAGATGTTGTTCCTGTCCCCATCTGAGCAGAGGCTCCTGAGCCAAAAACCTGGGCTTGAATCCCAGTTCCACCACACAGAGGTTCTGTGACCCTCCAAAGTTTTTAATTTACTTCTCTGCACCTCTTGAGCTCCTCATCTGCAAAATGGGGATGATGACCATGCCTACTTTAAAGGATTGTTTTGAGGACTAAATGAGTCAAATGCTTGGGATGGTACCTGGTACATGGCGAGAGACAACATATCGATTATTATCCTTGTACAATTGTTGCTGTTACCGATGAAAAAGCAGAGGAGGGATCTTCCTCTACCTCACTCTGACGTTTTTTTCCTTCTTAATTCTTTTGATCTTGTTGTCAGTCACATGGATCAGGGGCTAAAGAAGTGGGAAGGGCTTGGCAAGCATGATTTCCATTAGACCCCTTTCAGGGAGGCCTCGCGGCCCCATTTTATAGGAAGGAAGGCTGAGTCTCTGCAAAGCACAGCGTGGAGGGAAGCCACTAGCTGGGTAGTGGGCAGAGTCAAAATGTGGATGTTAATCTAACTGGAGCTGCAGCTCTGTCTCCTTTGTAATGGTGATTTCACCTTGAGAATAAAAACAGCTTCTCTCCGTGGAGCGATGGAGCTTGTGAGTCAGGCACCCTGCTGAGAACTTTTACATAGTATATCACTTACAGCGACAGGCACCCTTTGAGTTAGGGTCAGCTGAAGATCGTTAGAGGCCCAGAGAGTTGAAAGAGATCATCACACCCTACCCCACCCGCCCAGTGTCATTCAAAATAGAATCCCCGCTAAACTGCAAAAATAAATAAAAGTCCAAGAATATCCTGAATTTTCACCCTAGTGATAACTCTCGCAATGCATTCCTAGAAAAAGGCAAATACCAAATTATTTAACACTCAGACACTGCCAGGGGTGGGGAAGGAATGCTTTACCGGTGTCCTAAATTCATGCTTAATTGGACTCTGGACATTCAGCATTGCTTCAAGATACAGACTGTTGATTTCCACTGGGCAGAAGAGGACACTGAGGCTCAAATTTGGCCACTAACTTGCCCCAAATGACACAGCTGGTAAATGGCCCAGCTCTTATTTAAACCCAGGGCTATGTGGAGACTGCAATAAAATCATGAATAGTAACCACAGCAGCACAAATAACAGTACTGAGCACATTTAGCATGCCAGGCCCTGCTATGCAGTTTACACTTAATCTTTCTTTCTTTCTTTCTTTTCTTTCTTTCTTTCTT